TGCTAACAGAACCTTTACAGCTGCCTTTATTCCAGCTTCCGTTCTTTTCAGGAGACTCACTTTCAGTTCCTCAAAGAATCTGCAGACACACCTCCAAAGTTCAGTCTTAGAAGCTGGTTGATCATTTTCTGAAGTAATCAAACACATTCAGTGGTGTTGAGGTCTGGACTCTGGGGTGGTCAGTCCATCGTTCAGCTTCTTTGTTTGATGTGTCCGTCTCCTTTTCTCAGTGAGGTTCTTCTTGACAGCTACACATCCTTTCAGACCCACAGCGCTGAGTCGTCTTCTCACAGTGGAAGGATGGACAGAAACACCTGTGGATGTTTTCAGATCTGAAGCAGCTCAATTTTCTCCTCTCTCTCAGAGATGAAAGCTTTAAGTGCTGTTTATCTGATGGGGGCAGTTTTGGGGTCTCCCAGGCCTTCCAGGTGGTTGTTAGGAGCCCCATTTTCTCTGTAGCTTTTGTTTTAGGTGGAAATTAAATATATAATAATAATAAAAAGGTGGTCTTTGACATTTCGCACAGTACTAAATTACAAATATAAGGACTTTGGGGGTCAGCGCAAAAGTCTGGGACAGCAATGGCAGCTGTGCAGATGATAATTTCATATTTATATAATAAGTAGTTAATATTTTGGTTTTATAAAGAAATTTAACAGGTTCAACAAAAAGTTTATGATTATAAATAACTGATTATAAATGTGGTGAAAGGGTGAAAGACTGAAAGACGTGATGGGTCTCGTTCCTATCTGGGTCAGGAACTAGACATATGAATGACCAGGATCATGAAAGAAAGTGACCGATGAGGTATATTTGCTGTTAATTACTGTTTACGGATAACGAAAATCCTTTGATGTTCAGGTTTGTGCTTTGTTCTCTGATTCTGGCTCTGAAGCTGTTGACATTAGCAGACGATTCAAATCGAACTTCTGCATTCACAACAGTCACGCAGGAGTAAAGAGCAGCAGACGCCCGAGGCGCTTGACTTTCACCACTCGCTCACTTCTGTACTGACACGGAGTTAAAAACACAGTAACACAGCAAATGAATTGATAAGTCTTCATTAACCTGGACTCTAATCCGCAGAAACCCGCATCAAGCAGTTTTTCTATACAGCGCTAAGCCCCAAGCTAATGACACTAGTGCAGAGCGAAGCGCTAAGTAAGGCAGGCTGGAACATTAAAGGTCAAAAACGGTGTCATTTTTAATGGCAGCTGTGTTCACTTCTGTCAGTAAAGCCGAGATAAGCAGGGAAGACAGGGAAACACTTTACATGCTAGGATATTCTCTGGCTATGGGGTTAAAATGAAGGGAAGAGAAGAGAAGAGAAGAGAAGAGAAGAGAAGAGAGGACCGGACAAGACTAGACAAGAATAGCACAGACTAGAATGTCCAGACTAGAACGACTGTTATGGACTGGATCAGACCGGACCGGACAAGACAAGACAAGACAAGACCAAATAGCACAGAAAAGACCAGACCAGAACAGGCTAGAACGTACCAGACTGTATCAGACCGTACCGGACCAGACCAGATCAGATCAGACAGGACGATACCAGACCAGAATGGAACAGAAAAGACCAGACTAGAAAGTACTGGACTGGACTGGACCGGACCGGACCGGACCGGACCAGACAAGACAAGGCAAGAAAAGAATGTCCAGCATGTAACAGACTGAATCAAACAAGACCAGAAAAGACCAGACTAGACAAGACAAGACAAGACAAGACAAGAATTTCCAGCATGGAATGGACCGAACCAGACAAGACCAGACAACACCAAACCAGACAAGACCAGACAAGTCCATAATAGAACAAAAAAGGACCAGAACAGCACAGAACAGGCCACAACATGTCAGACTGTACTGGACTGGACCTGACCAGACCAGACCGACCAGACCAGACAGGACCATACAAGACCAGAATGGAACAGACTAGAACATCTGGACTGTAATGGACTGGACCAGACCAGACCAAAACAGAACAGGCTAGAACATACCAGACCTATCGGACTGTACTGGACCAGACTGCACCGGACAAGACCAGACCAGAATAGACAGGACCATACAAGTCCACTATAGAACAGAAAAGACAGACCAGAATAGAACAGGATCAAACAGAACTGTACAGAGCAGAACAGCCAGGTACAAATTAGAATAACAGAATAGAAAAGGATCGAGGAGAATTTGAGAGAACAGAACAAAACAGGATAGAATTTAATAGAACAGAACAGGATAGAATTTAATAGAACAGAACAGGATAGAATTTAATAGAACAGAACTGATCAGAACAGAATAAAACAGACTAGAACAGAACGGCATAGAATATTATCTGTTTCACTACAACAGATTTCTGAGTTCTTGAGTTTGATGATCAGGCTGAGGATGATAATAACACTAAATTGTAACGTTCTTTAAAGTTAAGATCATATTTCTCTTGCCTTATAAACCCATGAAGTTCCATCATGACAAAAATAAATCATTTTAATGTGGCAAGTTTGTTTCGTACACGGAGGAACGCAGGACTGTTCAGCTTCCCAACACATTAGTAGCTATAATGAATGTGGCTCATTGCAGTCGTAGCTTTTCGTCAACAGCAAAACAAATTAATCCCACTAACGACTTCTCCGAAACGGGACGCGAGCGACGAGCGCGCCTACCATTCGTCAACCGCAGAAAAAGAACTCTCGATATGGATCACCAGCCTGTGCAGAACACAATCGGACCCAGTATAGCAGAATGAGCCGGTGTCTGGTGGAGAGACATAGATTACCACACTGGAGCAGATTCATTTTACAGACAACCATCATTCGCCTAAAGGCATAAAGACTGAGCGCTGATGAGAAAATGTGCTTCGACTACAACGGAGTGTGTACAATCGAAACCATCAGATGAAGAAAAGGGTGCTTAAAACAGCATTAACCCTTCAATCCTGAGCCAAAACGCTGCTATTTCTGCCTTTTCATCTACTTTGTGTCTAAATTGCACAACATGATCCAACCAAGCATGAAAATAGTCGGTTTTTATTGTATTTGTGTAACATTTTAAACAAGTAAATCGTCGCTGTCCAAAGAGAAACAAGCATCTCCAAAATGGTACGTTTAAGTTAATGTAAACAGGCTTTATTTCAAATGATTCGGAGGACCTTAAAGGACCGGTGTGTTGAAATAATGTAGAAAAATAAAAATCGACAAAAATGGAGATGCATGGTTTTCATTGGACAGCAACGAAATACACGAATAGGAATATTATTTACACTTCAGTGGCCTTTTATTGTTTCTCTGATGAAACAAATCAATAATAAGTGTTTCCATAGCGATGTGGATCGAGTTCTGAATGTGCGCACATTCGCTTAGAAGCCATCACAGTGCATCCAACAATAAAGGCAGCATGGAGTTTCTTTTACACAGTGATAGGAAACATGGCAGCACACAGAGAGCTCCAGCTCCATATGCTGATTTAAAGGTGCAGAGGATGTGTAACTGATTTTCAGTAGCCTGACTAAACGTGCTACTGGCAAGAAAAGTGGGTAACACTTTCTATGAATGTCACCTTTGTAAGCATCTATAAACACATTCATAACATGTTATAATGCATTCGTAAGACATTATAAACATGGCTATAAATATTTATAAAAATGCATTACACGTTATAGCCATGTTTATTTTGCATTATGAATTGTTAACATAATACATTATAAGTACTGATCATAACAAATTATAAGAGCTCATAAGTCGTATTTGTCCGCTCTAAGTAAAGTGAAGCGTACTGTACTAAAGCCTCCTCCAGTGTTCAGAGTGAGGCTTCAAGTTGAAGTATTTACTGAAGGATTTACTGAAACACTAAAACATTCACAGTAAAGCACATTACAGGCTTCAAATGACAGAGTTTAAACTAGAGCTGCCATCAGTGTTTTACTCAATGTGGGAAAGGTAATGTTCACCACCGTTAGCTTGGTATTTGTCTTTACGCTCTCCAAGCTGGGACTGACTTCTTTGGCACTGACATTATAACATGTTATTAACACTATTTATAATTCATTATATTAACAATGCATAATGTATAATAAACATGGCTATAAAATGTAATTCAGTGTAATTCTTTTTTATAAATATTCATAACCATGTTTATAATGCCTTATGAATACATTATAACATGTTATAAATGTGTTTATAGATGCTTACAAAGGTGACATTCATAGAAAGTGTTACCGAAAAGTACTTCTGGCCATAAAGTGTAGTTAAATAGTGAGTGTCTCACATTGGGTTCCCCAGGGTCACTTCTATTTAATCGTTCTCAGGGTTCCCCAGACGGTCCATGTTTTTGATCTATCCCTATATGTTGAGTTAAGCTGGAGTAAAAATATAGGTTGCTCTAACGTTTCGTCCAGCTCCCTCACGAGGCCGTGAGATCGAATACCAGCACTGTCAAAAAAGCTGCTTATTATCAGAGCATATCATCAATACCAATAAAACCATGGGTCGTCAATATCGGTCAATACTATTGGTCAACTGATATATCGGTTGGGCCCTAGTAGGCAGAAAACATGTTAGAGCTGTTTTTTTTTCTTGACTCGTATAGCCACAGAGTCGAGACAGTCTAAGTTGTTTATAAATATAAATATAAGCTGTTTATAACAGACACATATGGGTCAGCTAGGCTAACAGGTAAGCTAATGTTCATTGCAATGCATTTTGGGATACATTCAGCATATGTAGCGATCTACAGTATTCACTAGACATTGTGAGAGCGCTGCCCGACATTTTAGGGCCCTGAATTCACTCTTGAAATCCATTTTACATTTCAGACAATAAGAAATATGTCCACTGTACGTAATAGTGCCCTAAAACGCAGAGAGGGACCCATTCTGGCCACAGACTCAAACCGGACGTTAGGTACGGTGAGGTTAGAGCCTGAAGCTCTGCTTCTTTGATTGAAGACACTGCGAAGAAAACGTATGTGGAAGGCATTAATGGAGAAAACGAGAAAACGATCCAACCTACCTGATTTCCAAACAGGTTGAATCCATTGATGGCCTCGAGCGCTGCTTTGGCCAGCCCAACAGAACTGCAATGCAAAGAACAGATCAGTGGCGCCATCGATTTTACACCCAACTCTTTTTTATAGCTTAAGAAAAGAACATTGTGGCTGCCATTTCAGAGCACTTAGAGGAGCGAAGATAGCCCGAGCTGATGAGAGCGCCGGCTTTTGTTCTGGATATCAATACCCATAACGGCTTTGATCCACGTCTGCGCTCTTTTGAAGTTAAACAAAGCGAATCACGTCTGCCGTTTCTGTTTTCTTAAATGACCCTCAGCGCTCGGACAAGCCGAGCACTGCATGGACGGAGCGGTAAGAATGTGTTCAGTAGCGCTGAGAGAGGCCATAGCAAGATACATGAAACAAGCCTTCCTGATTGCTATGATGCAGGTCAGTGGAGTCCAGCGGCTTTCTGGTGTGAGTCCAGCCACACATCCAAATCCAGAAAATTCAGTTATCTACCTCTATATCACTAATTATGTTTGAAAATAACATCATAACTTTATTTCATCTGAGTGTATCCTCTATTGGATGATAAATAAATAAATAATAATAATAATAAAAACAAAAACTACCGTTCAAAAGTTTGGAAGCAGATACACGTATAAAATGATCTCCACATGTTACTCGCATGCAAATTCCCTTTTGGAATACATTCAGCAGATCTACAGAGGTCACCAGACATGGCAAGGTCACTGTCTGACATTTTACTGCCCTCAAAATCTCAAATTCCACTTCACAATTTGGACACTATGGCTTCGTTCACACAGCAGGTAAAATTGGCCAAAATCTGATTTTGTTGTTTGGCTGCTCACATTATCTTTTAAATGTGATCTGTATGCGACATCAGTCTGAACAGATCAGCTGCTAAACTGATCCACATGCGCAAAAGAACAGAGCGTCATGTTGCTTGGTATAGTGTAGTGGGTAACACCTCTGCCTTCTACACTGTGGGCTGGGGTTCAATCCCCACCTGGGTAAGCGCCCTACACTATACCAATAAGAGTCCTTGGGCAAGACTCCTAACACTGCCTTCACCTACCTGTGTAAACATGATCAAATCGTAAGTCGCTCTGGATAAGAGCGTCGGGCAAATGCATTAAATGTAAAATGCTTCACGCGGCTCATCCAGAGGTAAACAATCACGGCCGCCAACGAACGCCAGTCGCTCCCAGAGGATCAGCTTCATCTTCACCAGCATCACAGGAGCCATCATGAAGCTTCACTGACTGACAGCTGGGCTCATCACCCAGAATGTGTTCAAACCGTAAAAAGGGCGCGGTCACTTCTTTGGTTCGCGTCCTCGGATTCTTTAAACTTTGCTTTTAGACTTTTAACTGTTCTTTGACGCTGCAGCCTCGTTGTCCTGCGGCCACGTTCGGACATTTCTTTAGAAATCTCATCAAACACGGAGGGTTTTCAATGAATCTGTTCTAATTTTTTGGTACACAAACATCAGCCCAGATGTTTATGTGGTCTCTGCAGTGCGAAATGATGACGAATGTCGAGATGGATTGACGCAGAAGTCGCATGAATTCCGATCTGGCTGTTCAGACTGATTCACGATGCCGCATATCAGATACGAATCGGATTTCAGTATCACATACGTAGGCGTCTCTAATCGGAATTGAAAATGTCAGATTCAGTGTGTTTATCTGTTCACACTGACACACAGACACACATCTGCGTCACTGAAGGAGAAAAAGATCAGATTTGGGCCACTTTTACCTGCTGAGTGAACATAACTTAAGAGAAAAATGTCAGATGTATGTAATAGTAGCCAAAAACGCAGACATCAGTGGTCATTAGGAAGCAAAGGAGCTGGAAAGAACTTATAAATAAACACATAAATAAAATACTGAGTAATTTTAGATGTTTTCAGAATGATGAACAGCTGTAGAACATCGAAAAGGTCTAATGAAATTAACATTACAAATTAATTTAAAGATGCACTAAGTAAATTTTGGGGATTTGGAGACCTCTCTGGTGGAAATATACATTGAGCCGTAAGTCTGTGTGTGGTTTTATATATATATATATATGTGAAAATAACTACTGTTCCTTATTTCTTTACCTGAACATTTTAAGCTAGAACTTTTTGGTCTAGTATGATGTTTAAATCTGATTGCATTGTATATAAAATAACAAAGATAATTATAAATATGATAACTTTTCCAAACTTTAAAATGATCGTGTATCAGATACCCCAAACATACAGACTAAAAGAGGCTAGCAGAAAGGCTATTACTCAAAAACAGCTGCAGAAGGGTCATGTAATACGAGCCTGGATTTTGATATCATTTGATATGAATTTGGATATCATTTTGAACATAATGATTACTTATATGTTAAGGCTCCAAACTGACCCTTCTATAAAACACTGAGGAAACAAATCTGCATATATAAACAAGCAAACAAAGCTAGATTTGTAACGGTAAGTCTGCTGTAATGGATCTCGCGCAGTAGAGAGCAAAACACTGACACTGACTGAAATCTCACACTGTGAATAAGTGAAGAATGGACCAATGAGGCTTTCTCGTTTGCCTCCTTCGGATTTCATCCTCTTATTTCTCTTCTAACAAGAAAACAAGCGCAAAAATTAAGCTTAAAAAAGAAACACAAACAAAGCGGCGCAGCACCGGTGAAATCATTATGACTTCGGCCTCTTGTCTCGGAAGTCAGACTCGAGTCTGGTGTGTTTTGTTGCTTAGCATCGCCAAACATGGCCTACCGTGACAGGAAAGGCCGTTTGAGCGATACGCAGAACAAACAACCACAGGCTGCTGTTTTACTGCCAGATAGAGAAGCTGATTTATCACTCCAGAGAACACGTTTCCGCTGCTCCAGAGTCCAGTGGTGGTGCTTTACACCCCTCCAGCCGACGCTTGACATTGAGCATAGTGATCTTAGGCTTGCGTTCAGCTGGTCGGCCGAGGCAGAGGACAGGCCATTTTTAAACCAGCTCTGTGAGTTTGTGAGCTACCTCTTTGGGGCTGTGCTGTTGTTGCTCCTAAATGCTTCCATTTCACAGGAATAGCACTTACAGTACGACCCATTCTACTGCCAGTGTTTGTCTATGGAAACTGCAAGGCTATATGCTTGATTCTATACACTTGTTAACGATAGATATGGCTGAGACTCAATCATTAGGAGGGGTGTCCACATACTTTTGTCCCTATAGTGTAGATTACAATAAATGAGCACAAAATTTGAATATTCTAAATCAATTATAACTGGTTCTAACTTTCCAAAATCAATGCAGCTGAATCATCACCTTCAGATCGATGAATCACGACGCATCAAATACCCTCCTACGTTTGACACATTGCTGTCCTGACCAGCCCACACACCAGCTACAGTCAGCTATGACCGCAATCGAGTACGAGCTTTGCTGAAGTGCTATTGATTTTGTGTCAGGACAGAGAGCAAACTTACATGGACGTAAAGGGTAAGAGCTGTCAGAGCTGCTGATTGAATATGTTGCCTCGGAAAAAAATGAAAGTTGAAGCCAGCGTCGAACAGTGAAGTTCTGGAAAGTACTATAAAGGGAACAATGGAATCAGTATTCCTTATTGATACCGGATGTTCCGCAGCAAAGAGAAGTTAAAATTCAACTCGTGTCCTCTTCTCTCGGACGAGCGCGAGCTGCTGAAAGGTCTCCGAAGCTCGCGGCTCTCGCTCGGAGAAATCTGGCACGGTTTCAGTGTAATCTGAAAGTGATGACTCACACAGCAGCAAAACGATTTTCATTTTCTTTGTTCGGGTCTGGAGGATGATGATTTAAGACTAATGCAGGAAAGCATTTATCACCTCCTCTCTCTGGCCTTCTGCCCACACTCTCTCTGGCACAGCGAGACGCGTCTGCCTTTACTCGTCCACTCCAGCAGCTCTGTGCAGTCACGGAAGAGAGGTCTGCACTGATGTACCTGCCCTACAAGCTATTCAGGGCTTGTAAACTATAAATTCTCTCCACAAACATGTATTTGTGAGGCAAATGCACTTCCCGGCCGTTTTATCGGAAACCCCTCCTTAGTAGCCTCTCCTTGCTGGTGTACAGTTAGAGACTGCGTCCCGTCCGTTTGTGCTAGCCATCCTCTAAACCTTCATCAACAGCCAGTTTCTGACCACAGAGCCGCTCTTGGGGTTGTCCGCTGTTGGGGTCCACTCTCAACCTTGCAGTAACACTGACGTGTGTAAACTCCAGTAACTCAATATCTGGTCAACAACAGTCCTGGGGGCAGAAGTTGACTGATAGTGATGACGGGGGGGCTAATGAAACGTGCAGAAACAGATGGGCTACAGTCTATAGTTGTACACCAACAAGGTGAAGCTAGAAGGTAGGTGTTTCCAGTAAAGTGGCCATGAGAGGAAGCACAACGGAGGTGTTTCTAATAAAGTGGTCAGTATTGTACGTATCGTTCATCTATGTGATAATATGTAGCTCATGTTATCAGCCTCACTCTGTGGCCAAACTACGGCCTTATATCATATAAACTTCTTTTGGGCTGCACAGTAATATGTAACGAATTATTTTCATAAACTAATTGGGTGTATATTAAATAAGGTCTACTCAAATTACAGCTTTTTGAACAGATTCTGGAATATCATTTTATATATATATATATATATATATTATATAATATATATATATATATATATACCATGACTATTAGGGCTTAAATAAGGTCAGGGCATAAATATCGGAAGTTGGTCACAAAATCTATGATAATTTCTCTTGACACCTCTAGGGGACTTCCAATAGTGTGTTAGCACTAAGCTAATGTATAAGTTTTACAGTGAGTCTTTCAGTAAAAAGTTCTGCTGCTGCTGTTTTCCATTCCTAACAACTAACTGGAATCTGCTTAGACTACGACTCGTATTCACAGTGCCAGTGACATATCTAGAACTTCCAGGAGGTCTAGAGCAGGGGTCGGCAACATGCGGCTCTTTTACTGTCCTGTTGTGGCTCCACAGCTGAATCAGATTTGTAGGTAATAATAAAATAATCCTCCTTTACAGTAAAATAA